GAAGGAAGGAAGGAAGGAAGGAAGGAAGGAAGGAAGGAAGGAAGGAAAGTTGGGATAAGAATCTCTTTCCTAAGTAAGTACAAGATCTACTAGATAAACTAGAGAGTAACAGTGATTGACCTTTTACAAAGTGAGTGTTTTTAGAGAGAAGGTGGGGTTGACCTGTCCATCTCTCATCATGTGTGGCTGATGAACACCCAGATAATTTTGTTTGTCTCCCTTCTGTCTCCTCTTCAGATACATCCTCCCAGAAGAATGTCTGGCTCAGGCGTGAAGTGTGTCACCACCCCTTGTGTCACCTCCTGCCCAGATGCCAAAGTGGTGGTCCATCCACCCCCACTGGTCCTGACCTTACCTGGACTGAGCCTCAAGACCTCTCCGAATCAGTGCCTTGTGGAAAGCCAGACTTCATGCCTCACTAATGGCTGTGAGGTAGGCTGTGATGCGGGCTCCAAGGCCATTGTCACCAAAACTTCAGGCTTGGTTGCTCTTTCTGGTGGAGATACTCCTTGTTGTATAACCTCCTGCCCTGATTCTAAAGTGGTGATTCAGCCTCCCCCGGTCTGCATCACCATCCCGGGTGCAGTCCTCACCAGCTACCCCAATGAGTGCATCATCTCAAGCTCAACCAACTGTATCACCAGCGGCGTCCAACGCCCTGCATTGCCCCGTTCCACATCGGTCTCTGATAGCTCCTTCACTCCACCAGATCTATCTCGCTCAGCCTCCGTCCCATCAGGACTCGACAGCTCAGCCCGATGCCTAAAACAAGGACCCTCAAACAAAGTGGTGATATACCCTCCACCAATTGAGATCACCATTCCTGGCCCTGTCCTTGAGATAGCTGCAGAAGAGTGTACTGTGGAAGTCTACAACCCTTGCACTGATAACAATGCCCTGACTGGCAGTGACCAGGCGGCCATCACCAGCGGTGACGAGGGTGAAGTCAAAGCTCTAATTCCACAGGCCAAAAGTTGCAACACAATATCTGGGCTGATGGACACTTCAACCTGCATTTCCCAGGGACCAGAGATGAAAATTGTTATCCAGCTCCCTCCTATTGAAGTCGAGCTTCCGGGACCTATCCTGGAAGTTTTTCCAGAAGCGTGTAAGGTAGAAACTCTGAGTCCATGTCCTCCAAAAACCGAGGCCATCGCTGGTAATGAGATCAAAGCCCTCTGTGACAGCAAGATGCCCTCAACTGCCCTTGCGGCTACCACCACCAGCATAAAACGCCCACTGCCCGACGTCCGACGTCCTCCTCGACCCTGGGCTGAAATGTACAGCCGGTCAATAACACCCCGAAGCTTTGCATTAGCACAACAATCCCGACTGGCAAAATACCGCAGTGCCTTATACTCCATGCATTCCCAATCATCTTACTAAACTTTCAGTGGATGTGAAATTGTAAAGACAGCTGGTATTTTTATAAATATTTGTATATATATATAAAAAGGGAGAGTGCTGTGTCATGCATCCACCATCCACCACATTATGGATCAGATGGGACATTTTTCTGAGTTGCTAACTGATTTAGAAGTTTTTAAGATGTTTCTTCTCCTGTCCATTTAGGTTTAAAGCCCAGTTGATCAAGAATTTTGACTCCATAGATTCCAAAGTAACATTGATTGTCCTTTGAGTATCTTGTGGTTCTATGGGAATGTGGTGTACCAGAAAACCAATGGACAAATAAGACCTAAAATTTGTTTTGACTCACCACCATTTTGTTTGTAATGCCATAACTTCTCTCAGAGCGTTCCTAGTGTGATGACAGAGGTGAATTAGAAAACTCCCAGATTTATGGTCAACGAGAAATGTGACTATTGTAGTTTGACAGCTTTTGGTGGCCACTGATCCCTCATCTCAATGGATTGCTCCAGGAGATTGTTGCTACCAGTTGCTGAGATGTTTTCTAGTAAACTTAGTTGCCATGAATTTGTTCAAATGTAAGCTATGTGCACATCTTGCCTCAAAGATAGCACTTTGTAACGCTTCAAAATAACTTCTTTATCAGTCCAAGTCTTGAGTCAATTTAAGATGTCTGTTTTTTTAATCTCTGCAGAAGTTGTGGGTGGACTATTCTCCCATGGACAGGAATGCTTGGTTCTTGCATCGCAACTCCACCTTGGGGGGTACTTTCCTGTGATCCCACCATGCTATCTTCTTTCCTGTTGGTGGGCGTGAGGTCTATCAGAGTTTCACAATTATTTTCAGGGAATAAAAGTTGTGGTAAAAGTGGACAGCATAGAATGTTTGATGGAGAAGTTTTCATTAACAGAGCTAGGATAGCTTCTCACCCTCCGCGTTTTGTTCATGATGTCCTCAAAAACGTCTCCAGAGGATTGCATCAGGTTATGAGGACCACTGAGACTCTACATGGTATTATGTATAAAACATGATGTGGGTCAATATTGAGGACTTCTTACTGATGAGAAAATGTTGCAAGCATAAAGTAATGGAAGACCTCAGAATTCATTAATTCTAGAAAACCACTATTCCCTCACAATCTTCAGGAAAGTGATGGTGATCAATTCACCATGATATGTGTGGCTAATTGATACTTGATAAAATTTGATACTTAGAGGATCTGAAAATTGGTCCTTCAGATCCATTGCTACTACCCCATTGTCCCAACAAAGCTTCTGAGTAAACTCGTGGTACCAATGATCCTCCCATTCCACTCCATGTAAGACTTACTCCAAGGTAAACAAACCTAGATAAGATTACATCAAACAGGGTTGGAATTTCTTTCAGAAGGATGTGATAAGTTGGAGGAAATGAACTCATCTCCTAAATGGTCCTCGGTTTGTAAAAAAAAAAAAAAAATTAAGAGATTGTAACTAATATTCGTAGTCTTTGAAATAAAGCTAGCATGTTTATTTTATGCAAAATGTTTTTAAAACAATTCTCATTCTCAAAATGTCAAACCTTCCAATAATAAACTGTGAAAACTTCTAAAATGTTCCAGACTTCTTTTATCCTATTAATTAACTGCTGGGGGAGTGGGAGAAAACTAATATTCTAATAATAATATATGAAATATCCATTTTCAGTGCAGCCAGATATTTTTGGAGCAAATTCAACCACACGTTTCCAACTTGACTCAGAAGAACTAGACCTCTCCTTGTGTTTGCACTGCTCACATCCAGTTTTTGCTCACTCCGCATTATCTCAGGTAGAGGTGCACCACCGATACCACATCCTAGGTATCTCTATAAAGTTGGTATGAAGGTTTGGTCAGGCACAACTTGAAGGTTGACACAACTCTCTCCAGAATCACTTCAAGGCACAAGAGGAAGTCAAGGTGTTGAAGATTTTAATTGAGGAGAGGAAGGCATCCTTAATCCTTACATTAACACCAATGTTCAGAACATTATCTGAATTGTCCTGCTTCAAAAAATGCAGATGAGATGTCTGTCACATCTCAACCCTGTTATCATTGTTACATTTTCATACACAGGAGACTCCATGGAACTACCATTTAAGTCCATTAACATGGTAAGTAATAAGTTATAAAGAGCATTTAATGGTAGCCTTCGTAGGATGGAATTTCCTCTCTTCAAAAAATATGTGGACCATGGCTCCTAATGATCTGTTCTCACAACATGCTTCCATCATGCCTCCTTACCAACCATGCTTCATTAAAGCTGCATATATTTACTTCCATTTTAGTCCAAAATGTCCTGCTCAAGCAAATGGCATTTCCATATGCCTAGTGTCCATGATTCAAATAGTCAGCTACATTCCACACTGACTAGCTGGTTGGAAGTTATCAATTATCAACAGAGCTGTTGCCCATCTAGAAATCCTACAGTCCTCCAAGACTTCATTCCTCACCATTCCTGGTAGACCTTCATCTGACCTAAAAACATTCAAGTAGCAGATTTGGAAGCTGCGTCAAGAAGAAACACAATCCTGTTTTCTAAACAAAAAAACAAAAAACAACCCAGCTTCTACTATCAGTTGTTTCACAATTGCCGCAACATCAAATCTTTCACCTAAAATTCTTGAAATGACTTGGCAGAGAAGAACAGAGTCCCATGTTCTTTGAGTTGGTTCATAGACACTGGGAAAGTTTTCGAGGCTCTGGACCTTCTCCAGAAAACGTGAAAGTCATACTAAAGGTGTAGCAAACTGTTTAAAACACGAGAAGACCGATTTTTTTGAAAATGCAAAAGGGAAGGTCATTGTTTATCTCAGATACTTTCTCCATCTTCTTCTTATCATGAGAAATATATAGGTTATTATATCTTTTTTTTTTAAGAATTGTTCTTGCCCATTGTCAGTGGTAATTCCTTATTGTATAAGTCTAATCAATTTATTTTATCAGTTTAATTAAGCACATTGTTCTCTCTCATTGCGGATGAGGACATTCATCTTCTCCTAGATAAGTCAACTTTTCATGTGTTTGTTCCATCAGCAAGTGCCATCCGGTTTCCGCAGGGATCTGCAGAATTTAAAACAAGAACCACTTCAAACACATCTTTGCGTTTTTCAAGAGAAATGCCTGAGGGACAGTTTGAAATTCACAGTCTGAAAACTGTGAAAGAGGGAGAAGCAAATTCCTGTCCAACAAGTTCAGCGCATAACCATCCGCGTCTTATCCGAATTCACGCAGATCCAGTTCTTCTAACGTCCAAAGAATTGCAAGCCCCATTCTTAGTTCAACTCCACCAACAGGTCGAAAGGAATCTCAAAAAAAACAGAAGCAAATTCAGCATTCAGATATAACCTCTTTGGACTCCTTTTTTTCCTTATCTGGAGAACATTATAAAAATGAGAAAAGGAACGATGATCAGCATCGGCTAATCCAATTCATCCACAACAATTCTTTTGGACACGTTGGGATGCTTTGAGTTGATATTTTATAGCAAAAGTCTCCAGAGTTAGTAACTTTTAAGACTTGTGGACTTCAACTCTCTTAATTCCTCAGTCAGCCATGGAAGTCCACAAGTCTTAAAGCTGCCAAGTGTGGAGACCCCTGTGCTATAGAAACTGCCCAAATATGCATTGCAAAATTTATCCATGGAAGTCTAGGCTCGTTTTGTGTTACCGTCCAATGTCCCCATATAAAAACAGCGACTATAAATAAAATCATCTGAACAACTAAAATAACAAAGTCACATTTTAAAACTACATTGATTATTTGGGAGGGGGGAGGGAATTGTTAAATATTTTAGAGAAAATTCTGCAAGGGAAAAAGAGATTAAATAGCATTATTTAAAGGGATGTTCTCTCTTCTCTGGGCCCAATATAGCTGCATCCATATAAAAAGAGAACTGAAATTTCTGCCCCTCAGTGGCCGTATTTTGCCACTGCTCCCAGAAGGAAACAATTTAAAAATATTCCAAAGAATTAAGAGTCTATCCCCTAATGGCCACATACTGCCATACTACCTGGAGAAAGAAAACATGCAGAATATTAAGAGAATATTCTTCCCTCTGGCAGCCAAACTTTGAAACTGCACCCAGCAGGAGGGGAAAAAAATACTATTGTATTCCAAAGATTGAAGTGTATTGCTCTCTGGTGGGTCTACTTCGCTATTGCACTTGGAGAAATTAAACAATCGCAAGGAATGAAGAATCTGCCGTCTGGTGGACACAATTTGCAACTACATCCAGGGGGAGAAAACAGTGCTGTCATTAGTTATGACAAAGGAGAAAAAAGTCTTCCCTCTAATGGCCAAACTTATCATTGCACCCTGAGTGAAGAATTTTTCAAATTCTTGCAATTACTGCCTTCTTTTGTTTGATATTCAGAAAACACACACACACACAAAAATCCAAGTGATCTATAACTATCAATGTAGAAAAATGAATTCTACATGTTTTGGACTCACACAACCCTCTGAATTACAACTTAACCAATCCCATTGAGCCTAGCCCCCTGTTCTGGAGATCTAGCTCTTGAGAAACATAAGAACGAGTTGTTGAAGATCTTCAGAATGGAGAAAAAGAAGTGATTATGACATCCCCAAGGAGGGCGATGGATGATGAATAGACAATTGTAAAGTTTTGTCAGATTCACGAGGACATCACGAAAAAGGAATTCTAGACTACACACTCAATAGCAAGCTCTTTTGTCTGCTCTCTCTAGTTTTTTTTCCTTGCGGTATTCCCCAACTCTCAACCTCACCCAGCCACATTCATTTTTTTTTAACAATTATGTGAATTGCTTGAATAATTGCTGACGTCTTGTCAGTCTTACCAAGTGGACCAGACAGGAAACATACTCAGATGGGCTAATTCTACTTTATTGTAAAAGTGCATGAACTGAATTTTGCAAGTCTGAATGTACACATTGCCTGCCGTCTCCATTACAGTCTGAGCTTCTTTCTCTGCCCAATGTATAGTTGTGGTCTATACTAACTGTTATCTGATTTGAAA